GAGTAGTGAGACTCATCAAAAAATAACATGGTTTTTATGTTAATGAATTCTATTTTAGAAATGAGTTCTATTAAAATAGTTTTTGAATTTATCTTTCTAGAAAAAATAGATTGAGTTTGAGAAGTTTTTTTAAATCTGGTGTGATTTTGTGATTTTTTCTCAATTTATAGTTGTTTTGAATTGAGAAATTAGTTTATTAATACTTTAATGGTGTTTGTTACATATTTTTAGATGAAAAAAATTGAAAAATAGTTTGGTTACCTCAACAACAGATGCATAATGTGTTGTTCTTATATCATTTTAATACATTTGAGTCAAGATTATTTTAACTAAACTTGCTTTTATGTTTTTTATGAGCTATTTTCTAAAAGACAAATATGCTAGTGAAAAATGGTAAAAAGGGAAACATATTAATGAGATAACCATATAATAGATTTTTTTTATCCTTATTTCAAATTATCTTGATTTTTAAATATTTATTCTGATCATTTTTTATTTTTATATTATTAAGGACCCATGATAAAAAAAAAATAGTCTTTTTATTAAAAACAAATAATAAGAAAAGAAGGGTTTATACTACAAAACAATCTTCTTTTTCAATGGAGATGAAATTATTATTTTTTAATATAAATAATTTTATTTTTGTATAATTAAATAAAAATTGAAGAGTTTTTTGTGTAACGTGATCAAATATCTTAATATAAATTTTTAACATTGATAGCCTTCCAAACATATATAATTCTTGATTTTTTTCTTATTAAACACACATTTTTATTTTGTAAATTAATTTTTTTCCCTTGCAATGTTTTTCATTCTAATTACTGAATTTTTTTATTTTACTTTGTGTTTACTAGAAGTTGAGTCTATAATTTATTTTAATTAGCTTGCTATAGGATTTTTGTGGTATCAAAAAACATTCAGCTATTAAATTAATGTTTGATTTGGTAAAATAAGATTTTATTTTATTGTTCGAAGAGCAAATTTGACACTTAAATAAAAAATCGGCCTCTTTTTATTCTTTTATATATATATATATATAAATGCATAATGTGTTGTTCTTATATTATTTTAATACATTTGAGTCAAGATTATCTATATATAGTCTTTTTAACTAAACTTGCTTTTATGTTTTTTTATGAGCTATTTTCTAAAAAACAAATATGCTAGTGAAAAATGGTAAAAAAGGGAAACATATTAATGAGATAACCATATAATAGATTTTTTTTATCCTTATTTCAAATTATCTTGATTTTTAAATATTTATTCTGATCATTTTTTATTTTTATATTATTAAGGACCCATGATAAAAAAAAAATAGTCTTTTTATTAAAAACAAATAATAAGAAAAGAAGGGTTTATACTACAAAACAATCTTCTTTTTCAATGGAGATGAAATTATTATTTTTTAATATAAATAATTTTATTTTTGTATAATTAAATAAAAATTGAAGAGTTTTTTGTGTAACGTGATCAAATATCTTAATATAAATTTTTAACATTGATAGCCTTCCAAACATATATAATTCTTGATTTTTTTCTTATTAAACACACATTTTTATTTTGTAAATTAATTTTTTTCCCTTGCAATGTTTTTCATTCTAATTACTGAATTTTTTTATTTTACTTTGTGTTTACTAGAAGTTGAGTCTATAATTTATTTTAATTAGCTTGCTATAGGATTTTTGTGGTATCAAAAAACATTCAGCTATTAAATTAATGTTTGATTTGGTAAAATAAAAATTTATTTTATTGTTCAAAATAAATTGAGATTGAGAAGAGCAAATTTGACACTTAAATAAAAAATCAGCCTCTTTTTATTATTTTATATATATATATACAAAATGAGTGAATTTTAAGATTTTGGCCCTCAAAGTTTTTTTTTCTTTTATATTATTAGTCTTTTTAGTTTGAAAATTTTATTTTATTCATATTTTCTCCATAATATTGGTTAATGAGAGTGAACTACTAAAAAATTAGAAGAAGAAAGAGAAAATTGTTAGTTGTTCACATTTCAACAACCAAAAAAATTCAATATGGGTTTTAATGGTTTCATTTTAAAATAAAAGTTTATTTTTGTTGGTTTTTTACCCCTTACCTTACTAGAAAACGCATAAAAAATTTTATATATAGACTTTGTTTTTAGGTTCTTTAATGATGATTTTTTTTAAAAAAATATTTTGAAGCTTTCTACCCTTGTCTATTTTTATTATCGTATAATTAAATAAAAAAATAGATTACAAAAAACAAAGATATTAAACCTAATCAAGTTTATTACCTGAAATGTGAGTTTGATATGCTAGTTTGGATTGACCCGTGTCGAATTTAGAATATCATCATCTCAATATTTTTTAAAAAACAAAATTAGGATGACATCTTCTTGATTATTTTTTTAAAAGTCAAATCATTAAAATATTTTAACTTATTTGCATTTGGATCTATTAGGTTCTCGTATTTTAGTTTTAAACCAAGCTAGGAAAAGGATTGGCCCGAGAGACCTCTAGGTCGACTTATTATGTTAACTCAAGTTTAATAATGTTTTTTTAAAAAATTTCATGGGGTGCCCAATTAAAACATTATTCTTATAATTTTTTAATACACCTATATCAAAATTATTATTATTAGAATGTTGTTTTTTCTTTAATTAAAACTTGCTTTTTTTATATAATTATAATAAGATGTTATGTTAAAGGTGAATATTCTTCTAGAAAATGCCTAAAAAAAGAGCGCATAAAAGGGCTTTGGTTTAGGGAGACATGTTTTAATTACTTTTTATTTTATCTTTATTTCATATCATCTAGATTTTATTTATTTATTTATTTTAATTAATTTTGATTTTTTATTAAATAAATAACATAGAACAAAAACATTATATATTTTTGGAAAAGTGTATATATTTTTTTGGAAAAGTGTATAACAAGAAAAGGAGAAATCATTTTAGTGATTTATTTTGTTTCAATAGAATTTAAATATTAATGTTATTACAAAAAACAAATTGTAATATAAGTATAAAACAAAATTGAAGAGCCCTACACTACACTACACCAGATTAAATATATTAATTTATATTTATTTCTTAACTTCTCAGCTTAGTTTTTAGTTAATATTATCAACTTTTTATAACATTTATTGTAGAATATATAAATTTTTATTTTTTATTAAGCACGTGCATTAGATTTTTAATTCATAATTAAAAAGATTTTTTTATTCTAAAGAAACATGCCACAACACATTTATATATTTTTTTAATATTATTAAAAAGAAATTAATTTGACAGGCAGTGGAGTTTCTATGAACTAGCTAGTCCACTTTTTTAAATGGAATATTAACTATATTTTTCTTCGTGGTGGAATTTTTACGTGATTCTCAATAAATTATTGTGCATACTGTTCTATAGATTTGTGATTAATAAATAAAAGAAATTTCCAATTACACGGGAAAATGTATATTTAAGTAGAATAAGTATTTTTGTTGCATGCTACGCACTAACTTTTAAAGCATGTTTTAATAAAATATTATTACAAGGAATAAAAAAAATGTACCATATTCTAAAGGTAGTGGAAGGATTGAAGGTAAGGACTAAAGGGGACTGACAATTTTTTATGTGACCCTTTTATCCCCTTATGTAGGGATAAGGGTTTTGTTTTTATTCATTAATAAAAGATAATTAAACATTTTATGTATTGATAATTGGTTATGTGTTATTGAGACATGATGAATTAATCATTAATCACAGGGGATGATAATTTAATTTATTGACTTACCTAACAAATTAAATATTCTTTTAAACTTGATGAAATAAATATTATCGAACTCGATTCATAACTTACTTAAATTTAATTTAAAATATATATTTATATTATATAAATATATTGGTAGAATATTTAGATTTTTTTAATATATATCCTTATTATTATCTTAGCTAGGAATGGAGAAAGATATAAAAAAAATTTACAATGCTAGTATAAGATAGTAATGGAAAGTTGTTGGTTAAGTTTCAAAAATATATTAAATAAGTATATTTATTTTTAAAAAATATCTGAATGTGTAATAACGGTTTTTTTTTAATATTTTTTATTAGAAAATATATTGAAATAATATTTTTATTTTCATTTAAAAAATTATTTTTGACATTAACATATTAAAATAATCTAAAAATATAAAAAATATTAATTTAAAAGAATAATAAATTTTTAAAAATATTTTTGAAACATAAAAATAAATCACGATTTGAATATACTACTTTTCATATTGTATAATATCTTTTTCAAACTAAACCTAATATATTATTTTAGTTCATTGATTGATTCAATGAGCATAAGACTATATATTAGGAGAGGTTACGTATTCCATCGTCCTTAAATTCTCATTGTGGGTTTGAACTTGAAACCCGTTAATGGAAATATCAAATATTTAAAAACATAATTAAAAACCCTAGAAAAAATATAAAAAATGATAAACATATGATGGCAATGAAATAAGTTTTGTAGGACTCAAATCTTTTGAATTTTCTTTAGGTTGCTATGTGATTTTCATATTTTAAAGAGTTATTTCAATTTTGTAACCTCTTTAACGATAATATGTAAAATAAACTTATTAAATGGTGTATAATTAAGTTTTACTTATATTTCTATATTTTTTTTAATCAGTAATGCTTAATTTTTTAGAGTTCAACTATAAAAAGAATTTTAAAAAATACAATTTCTGTAAGACTAAATTTCTAAATTATAGTGTTCTTATTTTCATTAATACATCTTTGTTTAAACATTGTGATCTCGAATAGAGAAATAACACACACACACAAATATATATATATAGGCATTGGTTTTATTTATATTAGCTATCTTTCAATTAATTAACTTTATTTTTAGATGAAAATATCAACATAATTAACAAGATATTTCGATATTATTATTTTAATTAAAAAACAGTGCTCACGTCCAACCCGCATAATTGCTAACGTAATTGCTAACACTTCAGATGCTATAAATACAAGCAGGATCCACAAGGTTTACATAGTGGGGTATAGCGCAGTTTTCCGAAGCAATGGCATCCTCGAAGTCAGATAGCTTAGATGTTCATTCTGTAATTAGTGTTGTGGAGCTCGTCAAAGAGCCCATATTCTCAGTCCCCCAAGAATATGTTCACATGGATCAACAAAACCCAACCTTTTCTGTTCGCACTGATCATCCCCTTCCAACTCTTCCCACCATTGATTTCAAGCTGTTAGTCTCGGGGGATACCACGGATTTGGAGCTAGAAAAGTTGCACTCCTCTTGCAAAGAATGGGGCTTCTTTCAGGTTTTGTTCCCCGCTATCTCTTATGTTTCTTTCAACTTTTATAGATAGTTAACATAATTACGATCACTTGGCTGCTCATTTTGGTGGTGTTGTTGTCTTTTATTTATTTATTTATATATATATATATATATATAAGACGACAACAACACCAAACATACACTGACAGTCAACAGATTATTTATACAGTTGGTGAACCATGGTGTTAGCTCTTCACTGCTGGAGCAGCTGAAACATGAGATTGAAGAATTTTATAATCTTCCATTGGAAGAGAAAAGGAAATACATGGTAAGGCCAGATGATTTTCAAGGGTATGGCAATACCAAAATAGATGAAAGACTTGACTGGGGTGATAGATTCTATATGATTACCAATCCTATTCATCACAGGAAGCCACATCTTTTGCCAGAGCTCCCACCATCATTCAGGTCCAGCTCCTTTCCCCTCTGTCTCCCCTCCTTTCTCTTATGGAGTGTGTGTGTGTGTGTGTGTGTTCATGTTTTTTCATTTCTGCATGCAGGAATCCCTTGGAATTTTATCTGCTGGAATTGCAAAAACTTGCCATGAAACTGCTTGGGTTTATAGCAGAAGCTCTGAAAGTGGACTTGAAGGAGATTGGGGAGATTTTTTATGATGGGTTACAATCAGTGAGAATGACATGCTATCCCCCATGCCCACAGCCAGAACTTGTTGTAGGCTTCAGACCTCACTCAGACGCCACTGGCATCACCATACTTAATCAAGCCAATGGTGTAGATGGTCTTCAGATAAAAAGAGATGGGGTTTGGATTCCGGTGAAATTCATCCCAGATGCTCTTGTGGTGAATGTGGGAGACATTCTTGAGGTTTGCAATGCTTATCTCCACCTCTCTCTCACTTAAAAAAATAATAAAATAAGAAGAAATCTAGCACGTGATATATTGAGTCTTAGTCTTCAATTTATTTATTTTAAACCCTAGCCATTTTCAAGATTTGTTTTTTCTCGGTTTGTGGTAGATTCTGAGCAACGGTGTCTATAAAAGCATTGAGCACAGGGTCACGACAAATTCTAAGGAAGAAAGGGTCTCTATTGCTTTTTTTGTCTGCCCCAAATTCGAGGCAGAGGTTGGTCCTTTGACTAGTTTAATCAGCCCACAAAATCCACCATTATTTCGAAGAATAGGGATGGAAAAATATGTCAAAGACTTCTTCTCCCGCAAGCTCTCTGGGAAATCATTCTTGGAGCACATGAAACTTGATGGAGCTGAAGAGGCTACGCTGCTTGATGGCAATTGACATCTCTCCACATGTCGAGAGACTGCTAGCTTGTACAATATGTTATAGTTATGTTATAGTGTATGTTGAAGCAATAAAGGACTGCCGAGCTATGTCCAGTGTAATGAATGTAAAGTGTGCTGTAGGGGTGTCTGTCTTGTCATATTAAAGCTAGTTCGTGCATGAACATGAATATTTTTTTTTTATGAGAATAGAAAGCTTCTATTAAAAGCCCGTAGAGCCATAAAGCTAGTGACTCTAAAGTCTAAAGGCTAGAAAAAATTACAGCCACGCCAATAGTTCTTTTTGTCTGACTAGCAATACAGCTGAAAGCATACAAGGGCTACACTGCAACCAGCTCACAGTTGCTTTTCATAGAATCTGATTCAATGATCCAACTGAATTGATATGCGGTGGAGTACTTGGAAGTAGTGTCGAGAGCTCGCTTAATTACTAACACTTCAACTTCATTTGACTCATTAGTACATGTTGGAGCCCAGAAGCAGCAAAGAGAGGGATCCTCGTACTCCTAAGAACACCTTCAATCACAGAGCTACCAGGTTTGATTTCCCCAACGAATATCCATCATTTTTATTTTTTTTACAACCCACAGAAATGCCCTTGTATAAAAGCACATAACTTAACCATGTTTCTGTTAAATAATATTTATATAATTTTATTTATTAAAGGTAAAATAGTATTTTTAGTTTAATCTATATATATTTTATATGTATTTAGATTAAGTCTAAACACTCATAATATAAAAATGATTTAGAACTGTAGCCTTCCTTTTATGTTTGATCTTAATTATTTTAATATGGTATCAGAGCTAATTTTATGAAACGAAGTTTAATCCCGAACACAGCTTCGCGGATCCAACTCTGCGGTGAGTTGGCTGGGGGTTTGGAGTGAGATATTGTCTTCCGTTTTTGCAAAATTTGGTATTTCATCAGTTTCTATAATTATTTTGGTATTTCGTCTTCCATTCAGCTTTTGCAATTTGGTATTTGCGTTCAATTTCTATAAATTTATTTTATATTTTGGAGTAATCATATAATTCTGAGAAAATATTTGTTTAGTTTCTACAATCTCTGTTTAGTTTTTGCAATTTGGTATTTGGTTTTCTGTTGCTTTTGCATTCTAGTTTTCTATGATTGTTGATTATGGCTACTGAAAGAGATGATTCGCTTTAGTCTGTGAGTGTGAGGTTGGATAGGAAAAACTATTCGTATTGGAGCTATGTAATAAGAAATTTTCTTAAGGTTAAGAAGATGTGGGGATATGTTAGTGGAATTTACGTGGTACCTAAGAATACTGAAGAAGAAGATACTGTTTCGATAGATGCATGAGAAGCAAACAATGCAAAGATCATTACTTGGATCAACAATTCTGTTGAGCATTCTATAGATACACAATTGGCGAGGTATGAGACAGCAAAGGAGGTTTGGGATCATCTACAACAGTTATTCACGCAATCAAATTTTACAAAACAGTATCAGTTAGAGAATGACATACGAGCTCTTCACCAGAAGAATATGAGTACTCAAGAGTTCTATTCTGCCATGACAGATCTTTGGGATCAATTGGCTCTTATAGAATCGGCAGAATTAAAAGCATGTGGTGCTTATATTGAACGTAGAGAGCAGCAACGATTGATATAGTTTTTAACAGCACTTCATAGTGATTTCGAAGGACTCAGATGTTCAATTCTGCATCGTTCTCCACTACCTTCTGTTGACTCTGTTATTAGTGAGTTATTGGCTGAAGAAATACGTCTTTAGTTTTATTCTGAAAAGGGAGTTATTTCTGCTTCAAATCCTTCTGTATTAGCAGTACCTTCTAAGTCATTCTCTAATCATCAGAACAAGCCTTACACAAAGGTTGGCTTTAATGAGTGCAGTTTCTGTAAACAAAAAGGTCATTGGAAGGCTTAGTGTCCTAAGTTGAGATAGCAGAATCAAGCTTGGAAGTCTGGCAGTCAGTCACAATCTAATATTCATAAACCACCTCAAGGTTATAAACCACTACACCACAATATTGTAACGGTAGCTTCCCCAGGCTCTATTACTGATCCTAATACTTTGGCTGAGCAATTCCAGAAGTTTCTCTCCTTGCAGCCACAAGAAATGTCCGCTTCTTCTTTCATAGATTAGTTGCCTCATAGTTCCTTAGGTATGTCACACTCTGAATGGGTCTTAGATTTTGATTTTTCCCATCATATGTCTCTAGATTCCTCATCTTTTTCCTCTGTGTCCTCTTTATCCTCCACTCCTGTTATGACTGCTGATGGCACTCCTATGCCCTTAGTAGGTGTTGGTTCTGTTGTCACACCTCACTTGTCTCTCCCTAATGTTTATCTTATTCCAAAACTCAAATTAAATCTTGCATTTGTTGGCCAAATATGTGATTTTGGTGATTATTTAGCATGTTTTCTAGTTCTTTCTGTTGTGTACAGGATATGCAGTCTCAGAAGCTGATTGAAACAGGTCGTAGGGAGAATAAGCTATATATTTTGTATGAGTTAAAAGTGTCAGTTGCCGTTACTACCGCTGCTGCTACTACTATTGATTTGTCTTCCTTTCATTTAAGTCTTTCATCTTTTAGTTTTTATTTATAGCATTCCGGTCTAGGTCATGTTCCATCTTCTCGTTTAAGATTTTTAGCATCCGCATTTATAGAAGCTTTAGGAAATTTAAAAACTTGTGACATTTATGATTTTAGTGGATGTAAACTAGCAAAATTTTCTGCTTTACCTTTTAATTGAAGTATTTCTGTTTCTTCTTCACCATTTAATTTGATTCATTCTAATATATAGGGACCTTATCCTGTTACCACAAATGGAGGGTCTTGATATCATGTCTCTTTTATTAATGATCATACTCATTATTGTTTGGTTTATTTAATGAAACATCATTCTAAATTGTTTGAGATATATATAGCTTTTCAAGCTTTTATAAAAAATCAACATTCTACTGTGATCAAATGCTTAAAGTATGATTTGGGTGGGGAATACACCTCTAATAAATTTTGTCAATTGCTTGTCTTAGATAGAACTATCCACTAAACTTCATGTATAGATACTCGTGAGCAAAATGGTGTTGCTGAAAGAAAATATAGGCATATTGTTGAAACTACTCGTTCTCTCTTGTTGTTTGTTTTTGTTCCTAATGAGTTTTGGGGAGAAGTTGTTCTTACTGTTGTAAGTTTGATTAATACAATTTCATCTTCTCATAGTTCAGGTCTATCTCCTTTTGAAAAGTTATATGGGTATGTCGCTGATTCTTCCTCATTTAGAGTATTTGGTTGTACTTATTTTGTTCTTCGTCCTTATATAGAACGCAGTAAGCTATCCCCTCGATCTGCTATTTGTGTTTTTTTGGGTTATGGTGAAGGTAAAAAGGGGTATCGTTGTTTTGATCCAATAACTCAGAAACTTTATGTGTCTC